TGCTGAGAACCAAACGCGGGTTCTCTGCAAGAGCAGCTAGTGCTCTTAACCACTGGGCCATCTCTCCAGTCCTGAAATGAAATAGGAATATTTTTATAGCTAAAAGATAAAGTGGTTTTATTAAAATACAAATAGCAGGGTGGTAGTCATGATTGAAAACTCCCACATGACCAGCTCTAACATGCCACTTCTAATGCTTTCTTGTAGTATGTATACAATACTTGGCTACTGGTGTTTTACTGAATCCTGATGGATTGGTCTTCCCTACCCCACTGATTGATTGATTTACTTAATTTTCTTATTTATTTATTTAAGTTAGCACACAAAGTAATGGGTTTCATTATGACAAATTTGGGAGCAGGGGAGGTCTCCCTATGTATCTCAGCCTGGCCTTGAACTTCTGGGAATCTTCCTGCCTCAGCCTCCCAATGCTGGGATTACAAGCACATGTCATCCTCCCTAGTTCCTTATGGAATTTTAATATATTCCATTATATTTCAATCTTATTTATCCCTCTCCTCTACTGGCCTCCTCATGTCCCCTTTAAAATCAACAACTTAAATTTCTGAGGCGTACACCTTTAATCCCAGCACTTGGGAGGCAGAGGCAGGTGGATCTTTGTGAGTTCGAGGCCAGCCTGGTCTACATAGTGAGTTTCAGGACGCTGGGGCTATAGGGAGACCCTGTCTCAAAAAGACAAAAAAAAAAAAAAAGTCTTTCCCAGATGGGCTTACTGTAGGTACTCAATTTCAGCACTTATTTCAACCTGTCTCTAGCACCGTCTGTGGTTTGTCCATGCCATGTTCCTATCCAGCCCAGACTCCTGGCTCCAAGAGACCTGGGACCCATTCCGTTTACTCCCCACAAATGGTAGCAGTGTCTGGCCAACAGGAGGAATTCAGCAAACATTTCAGGAATGATCGAGTACACACTAAGCTACAATCTGCCTCTGCTATTATCCAGCTGTACCAGTGTCATTCAACTTACATGGCCTATTGTAACCTCATCTATGAAATGAATTCTGATTGGTTCATTAAAGTCTTCTTTACAAAGTATAGGGAAGAAAATGAAAAGTTACTGACTTACAACCTAAATGTCCAATTATAAGAGGATTTTTTTAAAGTTATGTCATTTAGGTCATAAGTCTTATAATAACTTAAATATTCCATAAACCATTATAATTTTAAAAATGATACAGAAAATGTTATCTGGAAAAACTGTACATCCCTTCTTTCGCACACACATTAAACAAAAAGACGGGCATATTGACTACAAATATATAAACACATACCAGTGACAGACACATGAAGAGAGTAATGCAATTTGAGGAGCCTCTTTTCCTCAGGTGTGGGGGAAAAAAAACCTAATTTCAAGAACATAACTTAATGCTTTAAAAAACAGCCAAAAAGAAGAGATATAGGGACTGGAGAGATGGCTCTGTGGTTAAGAACACTGGGTCTTCTGTTCTTGCAGAAGACCCAGGTTTGAATTCAAGCACACACATGGCAGCTAACAACTGTCCATAACTTCAGTTCCAGGAGATCCAATGGCCTCTTCTGTCCTTTGTGGGCATTGCATGACACGATTGCCCTTACCTACATGCAGGCAATACACACATACACATAAAATTAAAAAAAATAATAATAATAGAATAAAATAAAATAAAATAAAAACAAAAAAAAAAACAAAGAAAACCCAAAACAGCATTATTAGGGCCAGGCATGGTAGTGCATGTCTTTAATGCCAGCACTGGGGAGGAAGAGGCATGTGGATCATGAGAGACTGAAGTCAGCCTGGGATGGCTACACCGCAAGTTCCAAGTCACCTGGGGCTACACAGTGAGACAAGACAAAACAAAACAAAACAAAACAAAACAAAGAAATAAAACCCAGCACACTAAAAGAAAGGGGCCTTTGAAAGATGATACTCTACAGTTCTGGAACTGGGACAGAACCACTTACTCCACATCATTCTGTTATCACTGAGCCATGGTAACTAAGGCGTGATTAATACATTTATATTGCATCTCCTATAGCACTGGTCTTATTGTTCACATTATGTGGCAAGGAAAATTAGGCTGGTTATTTTACCTCCCACACTGTCCTCTTAAATGCTACCTGCTAAACCCAGATTAAAGGTAAATACCTGAAATCTGAGTTACTCAGAAAGCTGAGGCAAGAAAATGCAGATTTTAACACTAGGCTTGGCTACACAGCAGGAAGCCATCACAACAACCACCAAACAAGAAAAAAGGGATTTTTTTGTAATATTCCCTTCTTTAAGAAGCCTTTCCTGACTAATCTACCTAAAATTGCTCACCGTCTTTTCTCCTGGATGATCCCTCTGGTTTCCCTGGCTAATATTCTCAGGTTGTGTGCTGCCCACAGTAAATGACCTTCTGTTTGTTTGCTTCTTCACTCTAACACAACCAAGCAAGGATCTTTTTTTCTGAATTGTTCACTTCTGAAACCCCAGGGCCCACCAGAGGTCATGGCCCAGGGCAGATATTAATATTCAATGAATGAACAGCTGAATGTACTGGTAACATTTTAGAAAGTGGATCACAAAGCCTGTTCTCAAAGCCTTCCCATCCCTCTCTACACCAGCATCCTAAGCATAACTGTATATACTGCATAGAGGCTACTCAAGAAAGAATGCTGAGTTGGGCTTACGGTAGTAGGAAAGTAGGAAATGAGGGCAAAAGAACACCTTCTGCCGGCAGAACCCTATTCTTAAAATGTAGAGAGTATGCTTTTTGCCCTTTTCTGCTTGTTATGAAGCATGATGACACTGGCCTTATGCCTTTCAGTATGGGAGCACTGGCACTAAAAGCCTAGTTGTGTGAGGAACTGAGCCTGGTCCAACGCATGTTTTAAAGTCAAAGAGGTCTCCAAAGCTCTATAGCTACATAATGAGAGGCTTAAAAGCTAATTCTGGAGCTGGAGAGATGGCTCAGTGGTTAACAGCATTGATTGTTCTTGCAAAGGACCCGGGTTCAATTCCCAGCAACAACATGGCAGCTAACAACCATCCATAACTCCAGTTCCAGGGGATCTGATGCCCTCTTCTGACCTCCGTGGGCACTACACAACATGGGTGCACTTACATACATGCAGGTAATACACTCATACACATAAAATAAAAAATAATAAACTTTTTTAAAGCTATTACAAAAAACCTGTGAAAAGCAAAGTAAAGTTTTCCTTGGTCCCAAGGTACTGAGAAGATAGGATCAGAGTTCAGATCCCTCCAAAACAAAGGGCCTGATAAACACCTCAGTTACCAACCTGAAATTCTTAGGTTAATATCTTAAAAGTGAGGTAAACCAGTGAAGGCAAGTCTGAACTTTACAAGAACTTTACCTCTGCCTTCTCTCTCATATGGTAAAGTTATACACACACACACACACGCACACACACACACTCACACAGACACA